GTTTTCATACTCTCCCAAAAGTTCTGATAAAATTAGTCAACCTGACTAAAGTGAACCAAATTTACCTTTAGAGTATTTTGTTTATATGTCATAATGGCCTGCCATACCGCTGTAGTCCACTGTGGACGTAACGGTCTGTGGTGACGTCAGTCTCCGTCGCTTTTCCTTTGCTGGCAGCGTTTTTATCGGGAGAGGACGAGTTTTCCCTAAAATCTTCGGACAGCTTTCACCCACAGAGCCTCAGCTGCCGCCGGATAAACACAGCCGGGATGGGCAACTGTCAAGTAGGTGCAACTTCTGTTCTTTTACTCTCTGAAAAACCTTTTCTCCAAATCTCAGCAGTCATCATTTTGGGTTTTAAATAGTTACTTGGGGCGTAGTTTATGGACGGTCGTCAGCGGTAAATCTGTCGCTGTATGGTGTTTTATTAACAGCAGCCACWGACCGAGAAAGCGTTTGTGATTTAGGTTTATTTAAGTGATGTTTCTTTAAGGTCTGACCGTGTCAGATGACGGTGGAACAGACGCTGGGTCTGGGCTTCAGAGGGGGAAAGGGGCCCTCCTCTGCGGAATCCATCACAGCTCCTTTACAGGAGAGGACTGAGGCTTTCTTTWTATTATACGTTTTCTAACACAGGATGCTTGTCTGCCACACTCATTTTTTACTTAAATGTTGTAAGTAATTAAAGATAAAATGGTGTTTAATATTTAGAAATAAAAAAGTGAAAAGTTGAGGTGGCTGATGCTTTTTTCATCAGATACACATTGTAGGCAAGAAAATTGTATTTTTAATTATATATATATTTTTTATCCCACTTTATAATTTTATGACCTTTGAATTGTGCTTTGGAGTTCCTGTCATTTATTTGTGACCCCCACATCAAGTTTGTTTAAGGACATTTAACCCTGAATTCCTTTTATCAGAGCCTCACAGAACCCCTCCTCCTCTGTTTGCTGCTTCATCAAGTCCTGAATCCCTGATTAAAAGATAATTAGCTTGATATAATCTGCAACAATCTTGTTTTCSTTTCACAGCCTACAGTTTTTCCCTATGAGGACTTCGATGTGGTYGCGGACATCAAGGCCATCCGCAAAGCCTGCAAAGGGTTTGGTAGGTTGGAGATGACGTTGAAGCCGTATAATGTTCTTGAACTTGTTGTGATTTGTGGTYGTTTTCTTCTCAGGGACTGACGAGCAGGCCATCATAGACATCCTGGCGAACCGCAGCGCCTGGCAGCGTCAGCAAATCAAAACGGCTTATTTTGAAAAGTACGATGATGTGAGTGTCCGTTAATGTTGGCGCGACGTGAACAAATCTGAGCTTAATTGTTTCTGCTTCTTCATAACTTTACGCCTGGATTCCTCGTTTTCTCTGTCCAGGAGCTGGCGGATAAGTTAAAGAGCGAACTGTCCGGAAACTTTGAGAAGGCCATCCTCGCCATGCTGGACCCGCCGGTCGTCTACGCTGTGAAGGAGCTTAGGAAGGCCATGAAAGGACCAGGAACGGACGAGGACGTCCTGGTCGAGATCCTCTGCACGGCCACCAACGCTGTGAGCGCCACACTTATTCTTCACAAAGCTACAGTTTAAATATATTCATGTAGAAATCTCAAAATTGACCTTTGTTGTCGACAGGACATTGCTATGTTCAAGGAATGCTACTTTCAGGGTAAGTAGTACATTTTTATTCAACAGATTGTTTAAATACTCTCACCCTTAAAGTTACTGCAGTACATCTGTCACTGCATTTTAAACTCTGTGAGGAAATCAGTACGGGTGACTCATTTTGGCTGCTACAGTGCTATTTGTGTTTCTTGTGTTGTGTAGTTTATGGTCACACTTTGTTTAGTCAAGGCCCATCCTGCTCCAGCTTCCTCTCCACAATCGTACCTCTGATTATGTTTACCTTGTTATTGTTTTACCATTTAATACTTCAAGTCTTGTTTTTGGTTTCGTGATGGTTTACTTACAAATAGTTCCTTTACTGCACTTCATTTTTATCTATTCTTTACATTACCTGTGCAGGAAATGCAAAACTATTTAAAAATGTGTTCTTATTGTAACACTAATTACGTCTAAAAACAAAAAGTGCTTGACTGCCCTATCTGTGGCCTTCAGCACCAGACAATTGCTTTTTAGTCGTCTTAAAGTGCCTGTGACATCAAAGTTTTATAATAAATGTATTTTTGGAAAGATAACGTTGATAACATATTGTAAAAAATATTTCATGCYGCTGAGATGAACAGTTGTTGAGATGTTCACATGTAAAGAGACAGGAAGTGATGTCAGAGGGGAATGTCTGAATGTAAACAGAGCATTATAATGGCTAACAACACAGACTGTGTACACACACACA